TAAGTCTTTGTCCAAATACATTCATATTGTAAAGTTTTTCTAACTTGTTTTTAGTATAAATTTTACTGTGTATGTTTAATACATGCAGCATGGTGTTGTGGGATATATGCTGACAGTAAAATGGTAAATATATCAGAAAAGATTTACATACCCATCATCTCCCAGTTACCCATTTTTCACATTCTATTTTATTTTTGTCAACCATAGTTAAAATGGAAAGGTACCAGGGAGGTAAAGGGAGCGAGGAGCCTGGGAGAGAACAGTAGGACACCAAGGGGGAAATGGGTAAAATGGGGGTATTTAAATTGGAGGGGAAGACAGAGGGTTATACAAGGAACTATGGGGGTAAAGAAGAAGAAGAAGCTCAGTAGAGGGGGCTATAGAAGACAGGTATTATCAAGGGTTAAATTCAGAAAATGGGGGCATTTTAATTGGGGAGAGAGGAAGAAAGGCTAGTCATGGAAAGAAGAGAGATAAATAATGCCTAGCTGTTGTAAAAAATAAAAGGGGAAATATTAGTTCAAACCTACTGAAAAACTGAACATACAACATCTCTACATGAGTCCATGTATGTAGCTGAAGGTTATATAACAGAAACAGTGCCAGAGAGGCAAAACCTCTCTTTGAATTGTTGGCCAGAGTAGTCCAAAAGACTCCCTAAATTACACAAGCTATTGCCACCACCTTTGATTGTCTCCCAGAACTTGAAGATAGGACCCTATTGATGAAGACAAGACACACTTCAGACACAGGACGTGGAGCAATGGAGCAGGAACTGACCTGGAAATCAGCCACCTCCCTGAAGGCTAGGTCTCAAAGTTTTGGAGAGTACTATGCAAGCTGCTAAAGGAAAACATCTATTGATGGTCCAACCTCAGCTTTAAGGCCTAATAACCACAATAATGACCACTACATTAAATTATATTGGGGCATCAGTGGTATTTTGATCATGGGGGTAACCAACAGGTACCTGAATGGACCTAAAGCCCTCTCAGTGGGAGAGACTCATGTGTGGTACTGTTAACATAGCCAAATATACATGACTGGAGTGTTCATAGATCTTAAAGAAAACTCCAAGGATGTCACACCCTTAGACAAATGTAATTTCCTACTATGTGCTAAGTATGGATCCTTATATTTACAGACAAGTATGTCAGTCACCACTCATCAAAGAAGTTTCTTTTGCAACAGATGGAGACTATTGCAGACTTCACAACTGGTCACACACAGAGAATAATTGTCCATGAGATACCTAACCTTAAGTGACATATCTACAATGGAACCTCTACACCTAAGACTCATGGAACTAGTGGAACAAGGAGTAGAGGCAATATTAATGCATCTCTCAACTCTCATCAATTAAGTTCCCTCATGAAACAGAGGGCAATGGACCCAGGGCTCAGGGACAATTTTGGTAGAGAGGGCTGAAAGAGTGTAAGAGCCATGGGAGGGGGTTCATGACCACATGTAGAGTCTTACAGGTTCCTGGGGCCTTTCTGAAATGAACCTACAGCAATAGTGACAGTATACACAAGACACATGCAAAATCAAGCAGACAAAAATCCAGTATAGAACTGTGGAAAAGGACAGCAGGCCCCAATCTTAGTCAAAGAACTATTGGGCAGCTGATTACTATTAGGTGAGGAAGAGCTGCCCTTTAAGAGAGTGACTCTAGATAAGCTGACTAGACCCTGGTGAATGAACTTGCACTGAGTGACATCAGGGCATACTAACTTTACTTGATAGGCCTTAACATTAATGACAGAGTGCATGAAATTCAGTGTGTGGAGGTGCCAATGGAGCAGGGGTTATAAGGATGATTGATATGTTGTTTATGAAACACACAAAAACCCATTAAAATAAATAAAAATAAAAACAGAAATATAGACCACACTGAGATGCCATCTTATCCCAGTCAGAATAGCTCTCATTAAGAAAACAAAATTCAGCCTGTTGGCAAAGACGTAGCATTAAAGGAACATATACAGTGTTGATAGGAATGTGAATCAGTGCAAGCAGGATGGAGATCAGTATGGGGTTCCTGCAAACTTAAAACCTAACAAATGGTCCAGCTATGCTACTCCTCCATATAGACCTGAAGGAGTCTGTCAGCATATAGCAGGTAAACCAATAGACATTCGTGCTTGTACTAAACACAATACCAAGATAAGATGCTAGCCTAGATGCCCATCAACAGATGAATGGATGAAGAAAATCTGGCATATGCACACACACACACACACACACACAGTGGAATTTTGTTCAAAAATGTGCGGGCTATGAGGTAGAATGAAATGATGCTATTTGTAGAATATATGTGAAATTGGAGATCAGCATGTCTCTTATAAAGTTATCACCAAAAGATAGAGAGAAGGAAAAGAGGAAAGGAGGGGGGCTTACAGAAACAGCACTCTTTGACTGACCTCTGGATTTTGGAAATAAAGAGCACTTTAAAATAATTTGAGATTTCATACTATTAGTCCAAGAGCAATGTAGTGCAGCAACAGTAAAAGTGATCTGACCCTGTCAAAGCATGTGGGCTGTGACTGGAGACCAGAGTGTGAGTTATAGTATTATATAATATGTTCTTAATAAATACTTGTTTAAGCAGTAAAAGAAATCTCATTTGGCAGGAATTCCAAATACAGTACAACATTTGTAATTACTGCTCTCAGTATTGTAATCACTGCTCTCTACATTAGATCTACATATTGTTGTGCTTTTCCTTTCTTTTTCTTTTTCTTCTTTTTTAATTAAGACACAGGGTCTCCATGAAACCCCAGATGGCCTGAAACTTTCTATATATATAAGATTGGCCTCAATCTCACAGAGATCCTCCTGCCTCTACCTCCCGAGTGCTAGAATTAAAGGCTTGCACCACCACACCTAGATTTACATTTCTATTTTAACCAGTGAGGTATACATTCCTATCTCCTACCCACACACCGTGACTAAACACTGTTTTATTTTCTATGTTTGTGTATTGGAAATTTTAATTAAAGATACCACATAGAGTATTTATTCCATTTAGTCCAATGCCCTACAGTTTCTGGCTTATTTCTCATAGCATAACATTGGAACAAACAGCAGTATCTCCCTTTCAAAGAAAATAATGTTCCATTATGTGGAATATGGGTTCATCTATTTGTTGGGTACTTAGATTTTCTTCACATTCTGGCTACTGTAAATAGTGATACAGTGAACATGAGGCTGCAGATATCTTTATGAGGTGGTAAGTACATTTCTTTTGGTTATATGCACAGAAGAAGGATTTCTGAGTCCCACATAGTTCCATTTCTAATTTCTTTGGAACTGCTGTTCTCTTTGCATAATGGCTGCAACAATCACATTCCCACCAGCAATGTTCAAGGTTTCCTTTATCTCAGTACCCTCACCAATGTTTATCTGTAAATATTTGGTAATAGCTATTCTTACATGGTGAGAATGATATCACAATGACTTTACTTCTCATTTCCCCGAAGATTAATGAGTCTGAGTGTGTTGGTTTAATGAGAAAGTCTACTATAGGCTTCAAGTGTTTAAACAGTTGGTTCCCATTTGGTGGTGCTGTCTGGGGGAAGGTCATGGACCTTTAAGAGGTTTGGCCATGCTGAAGGAAGTGTGTCACTGGGGGGTGGGTTTTGAGAGTCATAGTTACCTCTCCTTTGCAGTCTGCTCTTTGCTTCCTATGTTTGCTTGAAGATCCGAGCTCAGCTTTCTGCTTTCACTACCTCCTGCCATGCCTCCCTCACCAAGATGAACTTTCATTCTTCTGGAACCACAACCCCAGAAATAGGTTGCCTTGGTCATGGTGTATTATCATAGCAACAGAAAATTAACTAACACTGTGCATCATTTCATTTACCTGTGAATGACTTCTATAGCTTTTTTGGAGTGTCCCCTGTTCAGATATTTTGTTGACATTGCTTGATTTAATTTTATTTTTAAAGACCTGTTGTTGGCCTAATGAAAATGCAGATATACTTGAACAAAGCAACAATACCTTAAGATGTTCATATCTATAAGCTATGTATATTGCTCTCATAACCATTTTTTGGCACTTGGTTATGTTTTTATTTAGCAATAACTACAAGACCTGAACAACAAAGATACATGACTCTATATGTGTATTACTGTGATGTATAATGGTGGCTTCAGTAAATGCATGACTTTCATATCTATTTTGGCTGGGCATGGTAGTGCACGCCTTTAATCTCAGCACTTGGGAGGCAGAAGCAGGCAGATCTTTGTGAGTTCCAGGACAGCCTGGTCTACATAGTGAGTTCCAGGACAGCTGGGGCTACAAGGAGACCCTGTCTCAATAAAGACAAAAAAAAAGTCACTTTACAGATAAACACAGAAGAAATACAGGTCATCTCTACAACAGTGACTTATGTTGCTGCAGATATCAGTATCTGAATTAGTGTTATAATATTATCAATTTTTATACTATTATTTTTATGGCCAAGCAAATTTTGCATCTAGTCTCTTTATCTCTTTTATCTCTTTATCCAGTTCCTGCCATCATTACTCTCATCTCTGCTTTAAAGATTTATTTTTATGTGTATGTGTGTATGTGTGGGTGTCTGTGTATGTGTGTGTGTGTGTGTGTTTGTGTGTATGCTGTGTGTGTGCAGTTGGCTGCAGAGGCCATAAGAGGGTGTTGGATCTCCTATAACAGGAGTTTCTGGTGGTTGGGAGCTTCTTGGCATGGGTGCTGAGAACAGGACTTTGGTCCTCTGGAAGAGCAGTATGCACTCTTAACCACTGAATTGTCTCTCCAGTCCTTTCTCTCAACTCTGGTTCAACAATGACTTTTTCCAAGTCAGTTGGCATCATATACAAGGTAGTACAATAAAAGTGAGGGAAAAGTGCCCAACTCAATTTTTTGGCATGTTGTAGCCCAACCACAATTAATTTTCTACAATATTTTAGGATATAAAAAGCATAATACATTTAATTGAATATTCATTAATGTACTTATATGTTTTTTATTGTAGTGAGTGGACATCCAATACTCAAGAGAGCTAACATCCGGACTGTTGGTAATTTGGTGGCTAATTCCATAAGAGAAAGGAAAATGAGACAATTCTAGCCATGAGATGAAGAAAAGGTTTTGAACACAGTGTTCCTTTTAATAGTTGAAGTTGTCACCCCAGAGCTAGGTATTAACAATGGTCACAGAGTAATTGCTATCAACAAGATAAATGACAAACATCTTTGTTTATGCAAAAGGAGACTTTGATAAGTTAGTCCATCATTCATAAGTATGTTTGGATGAATACTGTTTTGTCTTCTTCAATAAACATCTGCTTAACACAATGAACTGAACCCATGTAGTGTCAAGTCACTGGACTGAAATTCATTCTTGCTCCAATATCAATAAAGACAATAAACTTTAGAATTCTTATTTTGAAAACTCTTGCTTCTAATATAAAATGTTTAATTCATCTTTTTTATTCTTTAAAAATTATAATGGTGTGATATTTTGCTGAAATGGAGAATTTCACATATTTTGTTTGTTTTTTGAGCCATATAACATCACTTAATTTTTTTGGAAATTGTTTATGAATACGTGCCTAAATCATGTTATATTTTTCCATGATCATGGTATTATTTTTTCCTTATTGCTCATTCTAAAGGGAACAACTGACCACCAGTATATTGTGTATCTTACTCACCCTTACTCTCATAAGGATTTGAATTACAGTGGTTAGCACCATCAGCTCTGTAAGCAACTTCAATTTAGTTTTACCCATCCATCTGTCAATCCATCTTATATTTATGAATGGGACCATAAAAGCAAGTGAGGAGCAACAGTTGGAGGAAGAGAATCTGTTCATAGATAGGCATTGATCTGAATAGAGACTGCCTGACATGTATTTAGTTTTTCAAAATCCTTAACAATGGTCTATTGATTCTATCATAGAGTCTTTGGTTTTAAAATAAATGACTCTCAGGCTGTTTCCATGCAATCTTCTCTACGACTACATATAGAAGTTACTGAAGTAGATCTTTGTAAAAGCATATTGTAAGAGTCTTACTAGGTCCAGGTCTCCCCTAAAGCAGAACCAAAGTGGCATATAAACCATGATGGAGTATAACCAGATTAATTCTTAGCACTAACATTTAACAGGAAGGAAAACAGTAAGTATTAGCTAAGATTTAGTTTATGAAATTAAAGTAAATATATTCTCCCTACTCAAAATTGAGAAATTTACTGTATTTTTTTTATATGGAATAGAACCAGAGAGATAAATGGAAAGAAGGAACCTGAGAGAGAATAGTAGAAGAAAGGTGTTACTAAGGGAGAAATATGTAAAGGGGATAGTTACAGGGGAGCGGGGGGGAGAACTATACAAAGAACTATGGGAATAAAGAGGAAAGAAAAATTCTCCTGATACACAGTATAAAAAAAAAATAATAAAAAAAAAAGACTTAAGCACAGAAGGAACCCGAAGAAAGCCATACCAGAACCCATATGGTTGTTGAACAAAAATCTCAGTGCCAGAGGTGGGTTGCCCCCCTATGAACTGTTGGCCAGAGGGACCCTAGAGGTCCCCAAAACAATAAAGGCCATTGCCAATAATGTTAATTGCACATCAGAAGTGGATGGTAAAACCCTATTCCTGAAGATGCTGCATGATGTGAGTGCAGTAGAGGGAGAAATCAAGCTTGGACTAAGCTGGAAACTCCTTGCCCCTGGATGGGTGGCTTTCAGAGTGCCAGAAGGCGCTATGCAGATGGCTGGGGGAGAACTGTCCTTATAATTCTGCTCAATGAAGGACCCCATGTGCTGCACTATCAACATGCCAAACAAGATGTTCTTGTTGATGCAAAAGTTGCCTGTCTAGTGTATGTACAACCAGCAAATTTTTGATTGGAAATAATGCCCACTCCTAGGGGTGGAACACATATCTGGTACTGTAGACCAGGCCAAAGCCTGTGGCAGGGGAGGATTATAGGCACCAGTGGGGAAGCCACTGCAATTGCTTTTTAAATGAATTTGATTCCCCTGCTAGAGTACCATCCAAGAATTTGTGTTTACGCCCATAGGTTAAGTTTTTATAGCAGCCACTGTTTAGATGTTCTTTCTTCTTGCTGTTTGTGTTTTTATAGTAGATGGAATCCTATCGAAATGGTCCAGAAGCCTATGGAAAACAGATGATGCAGAGACCCAAAAGTTTAGTGCCTTGCCACAATGGGAGGAAGATCAACCTACCCTTACCACCCCCTCTGTATTAGTCAGGGTTCTCCAAAGAAACAGAACCCGTAGAATGAATATTTATAGAGATTTATCAGCTTAGCTCACAGGATAGAGTCTGAGTAGTCCAACAATGGCTGCACCACACTGGAGAGGGTGAGAATCCATAGTCACTCAGTCCACAAGGCTGGATGTCTCACAATCTGGCACTGAAGGTCTGTTGAATTCCAAAAGATCAGCTTGTCTTCAGTCTACAACAGCAAGACGAACTCACTAGTGAGAGAGAAGGCAAGCAGCAAAAAGCCTGGCATTCTGGTCTTTTATACCAGCTGCCATCAGAAGGTAATGCCCACATTTAGGGTGTGTCTTCTGAGAAGATCTCTTTCATTTCAGTTAATCCCAGTTCCAATCAAGTTGACACCCAGGATTAGCCATCACACTCTCCAAGGCTCAGGGGCTTTTGCAGAAGAGGTTGTTGGAAAGAATGCAAGAGCTGGAGGAAGGGGTGGAGTGTTACCTGGAAGTGTCCTCCTACCATTCACTGGCAAGCTATAGTCATACCTCTTCCCAAGGTCGTCAAGGAGTCAATGAGGGATTCACTTACCCCTTCCACCCAATCAATCGACCTTAGCTGCTTATGGGGCTAGGCTAAGGGTATATAAGCTGAGAATTCCATGAGGAACCTCTCTTGCCATTTTGTGCAGCTGTTGGGAAGTCACAGGATCTATATTTGAGTGTGGACTTTCCAGTGAAGCCATAAATGGGGGGGGGCATTCTTCTGTAAATTAACCCCCACCCTATGCTCTATTAGCAAGCCCAATAAACTCATTAAGATAAAAAAAAAAACAGATCTAATGGATCTTCATTACTTCACCAAAGTTGACCCCATTTTGGCAAATCCTTTTGGTCTTTGCTTTCTTATTCCTACACCCCTGAACTTCATTTTATATATATATGTATATGCATATGTATATGTAAATATGTTAAAAATCACCTATCTTTGGAATAATAAAAAAATAAAAATAAGTAAATAAATAAAAGAAAAAATGTAAAAAAAAATTTTATGTGTATAAGCGTATTTCCTGCATGTAGGCACACCTGTGTCGTGCAATGATTGAGGATGTCAGAAGAGGATGTCAGATTCCCTGGACCTGGAGTTATGGATGGTTGTTAGCTGCCATGTGAGAGCTGGGAATCAAATCTGGGTCCTGCACAAGAGCTGCCAGTGTTTTTAACCACTGAGTCATCTCTCCAGTTCTGAGAAATGTATTTTAATGAGAAAGTTTCCTTTTTATTTATTTGTATATTGAAACAAAAACACACAGTTAAAAATAAAGAAAAAATGTAAGCGTGTCTTAAATTTCAGAATGGCCACAGATCCTTTATGTGGAAATATTAGGGCAAAAGATTAGATACATTTCTACCATCATTATTCCAAAAACAAAACAAAGAAAGAAATACATGCAGTTATAATGAAGAGCAGTTAAAGATCTGAATAGAGGAGCACTAAGTAAGTGGTGGATAATCCTTACAGGACATCAGTTGTAAACAAGTTTGTAAGAGGAAATCAATATAAAACCGTGTCAAAACCATTCTCTAATTAGATTTTAGGTCTGCTTCATAGGATGGAGCCCATGTCTGACACTGATAGCAGGTTTAGGAACCTGAGGCTAGACAGGTCACAGGACATAAGGTAGAGCCCAATACTAGTTTTCTCTTAAATAGTTATCATATCAAAATGACTCCTAATGACTCCTTGTTATACCCCCTAATTAATGCACCTCTCAATTCTTACCAGGGAAATTTTTTATGCAGCAGATGGTGATTAACACAGAAACCTACAACTGGCCAATGTGCAGAGAACAAGAGGTTATAGAGCACTTATTCCTAAATAGCATGTCTATTTCAAACCTCTGCCTCCCAAGGCTCAGAGATCATTGTGGAGGTGGAGGTGGAAAGATCATAAAAGAGCCAGAGGGCTTGGATAACTACAAGGAAACAGGGTTTTTGAGACACTGGGGAAATTACGCATATTAACTCACAGCAAGGGTGACAACATGTGCAAGTCCCATGGAAGCTCAAATCAGAAAAAAATCCCAGAATAGACATTGGGAAGGGGGTAAGAAACCTCAACCCAACCTAAGGAAATTGTGGCAACTGATGGCTGCTGGGTGGGGCAGAGACAGTCTGCTACACGGATGAGACTCTTGGTAGGTTAACCAGTATCTAGTGGAAGGCCCCACACTGAAGGACATTTGAGGACACAAATCACATTTCATAAGCTATTTTATATATGTATATGTATGTGTGTGTGTGTGTGTGTGTGTGTGTGTGTTAGTACATTAAATGAATGGAGGTAATAAAGTGTGGCTAGGGTAAGAGATCTATATTCCATCAAATTATATTGTCTGAAAGTCTCAAAAATTTGACTAAAAAGAATCAAACATTTAATAAATTAGAATTGGAGAAAAATAAACAAAATACAAGCATTTAGTAATGAGTAGAAAACTGGGGGCAGAATATGAAGTATGCTTTTTTAAAAAAAAAACATGGGTATGCTCACCTAAAGTTTCCTACTTTGACTATCCTTGTTTTGTAGCAAACTGAGTATCTTCCAGAGGTGTGAGCCTGCAGTAGGTTCACTGACAATATGTCACTCCAGAGCTGTGGAAGAACAATGTAAGGTCAAGGAAAAGAAGTCTTTGCTTTTCAATAGTCAGATTCTCTATAAAAATTGGCACTTGGTGCTCATCAAAGAGCAAGAAATATTGGTTCTGCTCTAAATGTCCATTGTGTTTTTGAGCCAACTACCTGATGGAAGTCATCACTTATATGCAAATGAACTGTCAATGGCTTGCCACAGTCGGCAATCACCGGACTGTGAAGGGTAT